AAGTGGAGTAATGAAAGTGAGTAAAGGCATGCTGACAGTGATGAAGGGACAGAAAGTAGTAGGAAACATTTACAGATTGCTGGGTACTATAATTGTAGGTGGAGTTGCTGCTGTAGAGTCTGAATCAGATAATACAGTCTTGTGGCATATGCGGCTGGGTCATATGAGTGAGCATGGGATGATACAGCTTCATAAGAAAAATCTATTGAAGGGTGTCAAGACATACAAGCTCAATTTTTGCAAATATTGTGTTCTTGGAAAACAGAATAGGGTGCAGTTCAAGACAGCCACACACAAGACAGAGGGGGTTCTCGACTATGTCCATACAGATGTTTGGGGACCAGTTAGCGTAGTATCACGAGGAGGATACATGTATTTCGTGAGTTTCATTGATGATTACTCACGAAAGGTCTGGGTGTACTTCATGCGACACAAGTCAGAAACATTTGCCAAGTTCAAGCTGTGGAAAGTTGAAGTAGAGAACCAGACAGGGAGGAAGATTAAATGCCTCAGGTCAGATAATGGTACTGAGTACACAGATTCAAAGTTTCAGGAGTTGTGTGAGCAGCATGGGATCAAGAGACACTTCACAGTCCGCAAGACACCACAACAAAATGGTGTAGCGGAAAGGATGAACAGAACGATAGCCGAGAAAGCTCGGTGTCTCAAGTTGAATGCAGGGCTTGCAAAGAATTTCTGGGCAGAGGCAGTGAATATGACATGTTTCTTGATTAACAGATCACCGAGGGCAGCATTAGATGGGAAAGTATCAGAGGAGGTGTGGACAGGCAGTGAGGTAGACTACTCTTGTTTGAGAGTGTTTGGATGTCCAGCCTATGTACATGTTTCTAGTGAGGAGAGGTCGAAGCTTGATGCGAAGTCTAGACAATGTATCTTTCTGGGATATCAGAAAGGAGTGAAAGGCTTCAAGCTCTGGGATTCGAAGGCAAACAAGAAGGTGATCAGTAGAGATGTGGTTTTTGATGAAAAAGCCATGTTGCAGCGTACTCAAGAAGAAGAGAAACAAGTACCAGAAATTGTAGCACTAATGACCATGTGGTGCAGGTGGAGCTAGAGAATCATGGTAGAGAAGAGGATGCTCAGCATGTAGAGCGTTCTATCTCAGGTGATCAACAACATCATAGTATAGCCACAGACAGGCCCAAACGCAATATCAAGCCGCCTACCAGGTATGGTTTTGAAGATTTGGTTTCTTATGCGCTTATTACTAGTAACGGGGATCCTACAACTTTTCAGGAGGCAGTACAAAGCCAAGAGAAAAGTAGATGGATGGGTGCTATGGTGGAGGAGATGGAGTCTCTGCATAAGAACCAGACGTGGGAGTTGGTGGAACTTCCCGAGGGGAAGAGAGCAATAGGGTGCAAATGGGTGTATAAGAAAAAAGAAGCAGTATCAGAAAAGGAGGGAGAAAAATTCAAGGCTCGTCTAGTAGCAAAGGGTTACTCACAGAGAAAAGGGGTTGACTATGATGAGATCTTCTCCCCCGTGGTCAGACACACTTCCATCAGGACAGTGTTGGCACTAGTAGCACATTCAGATATGCAGTTGGAGCAGATGGATATAAAGACAACTTTCCTTTATGGTGACTTGGAGAAACGGATTTACATGGTACAGCCAGAAGGGTTCAATCTCCCTGGAGAGGAACATTTGGTCTGTAATTTGAAGAAATCACTTTATGGGCTGAAGCAGTCTCCGAGGCAGTGGTACAAACGATTTGACTCTTACACGATCCGAATTGGCTACAAAAGGTGTGAGTATGATTGTTGTGTCTATGTAAAAAGGCTTGATGATGATTCATTTATTTTTTTGTTACTTTATGTGGATGATATGTTGATTGCTGCCAAGAGTATGAGTGAGGTCAACAAGTTGAAGACTTTGTTGAGTAGAGAATTTGACATGAAGGATTTGGGTGCGGCCAAGAAGATTCTTGGGATGGAGATTTGCAGGGACAGAGCTTCCAGGAGATTATAGCTATCTTAGCATAGCTATGTTGAGAAGGTGTTGGACAGGTTCAGCATGAGTTATGCAAAATCAGTAAGTACACCTTTGGCGAATCATTTTAGATTGTTTACCGCTCAGTGCCCGAAGACAGATAATGAAGTTCATGACATGTCAAAGGTCCCATATGCTAGTGCAGTGGGGTGTTTGATGTATGCTATGGTTTGTATAAGACCAGATTTGGCACAAGCTGTCAGCGTGGTTAGCAAGTTTCTTTCAAATCCGGGTCGACAGCATTGGGATGCAGTCAAGTGGATTTTCAGATACTTGAGGGGCACTCCAGACTATGGCATCATGTTTAGCAAACAACAGAGTGACCCTTAAGTTATGGGATATGTGGATGCAGACTATGCAGGGGACTTGGATGATTGGAGGTCTACCACAGGTTATATGTTTACTCTTGTAGGAGGATCTATTTGTTGGAAGTCCATGATACAGCCTATAGTTGCACTATCTACTACTGAGTCAGAGTATATAGCAGTAGCTGAGGCTGCCAAAGAGGTTTTGTGGCTTACAGGTTTAGTCAAGGAGTTGGGTGCCCAGCAAGGTGGAGTTTAATTGCATTGTGACAGTCAGAGTGCCATTTATTTGGCAAAGAACCAGGTGTATCATGCGAGGACCAAACATATAGATGTGAGGTTTCATAATATCAGGGAACTGGTTTTTTATGGTGAACTACTACTTGAGAAAGTTCACACTTCTGAGAATGCAGCAGACATGTTGACAAAGTCTGTTATTACAGACAAGTTCAAGCACTGCTTGGACTTGATTAATGTCTCTAGTTGCTAGATGGGAGATGCCTCAACTCAGCGTCCCCGAATACATGTGTCTTTTTTTTTTTCCTATGGGGTGAATATTTGCCAAGGTGGAGATTGTTAGAATATGTGTGACTTATATTTGTTGTGTGCATAATGGCAAGGAGGCAGATGCCAGAGTGGGATTTGTATAAAGGGGACGTTGCGGTACGGTACAGGGGTATTTTTGTAAATACGTCCGTATTAGGGTTATATAAATACTTAAGATGTAATCTATTTTGAATAATGAAAAAAACGGCCGCTTGCTCTCGTGGATGTAGGCACATTGCCGAACCACGTAAATCTCTGTGTATTATTTTCTACTGCTTTCTTAATTGTTTGATTCCTTACTATTCACCATAATTGCTGCACGATCACAACAGCTACTGTCCCAGCAAGACCTTATATAGTGTTGCCAAGGTAAAGAAAAAGGAAAGTAGAATATTGGCTCTCATCTCGAGATCTGTTCCATCATCAAGTGAGTCACATCTTCTTGTTTGCCCACCTTGATTAGGCTTCCTTTAATGGATTGGTAAAAGTTAGAATTAACTTAGCTCAACTTTAGGAGAGTCATGGTGGAAGTCTATGCCTACATAGAAAAACTGTTTATTTCTGACTTCTAATGAAAAGGGATGGTTTTGCTTTGTGCCTTCGATAGCCTGCTTAAGATTCAACTCAAAAGGCCCTACTTAGTTTCGCAATCCTTTGTTGCAAAAAGTTTCTTATTGGAAAATTAATGTTCACCTTCTATTTCTGTCTGTTTGAATTATACTCCTCACTCCTCCTGACATCATGCTTGTTGATATAGGTGTTCAGAGTTTAAACTACTGGGAGAGAGTAAAGCTCTTTTCTTGGTGGAAGAAGATAGAGAATGGATTACAGTTCAGACTGCAAATTAAATGACGAACATGACGATGAATAATGGAGCAGACTCTGGTGGCATAAGTGCGGCAGCCGAACACCAGGCATGTAGTTGTCTATTTTTGGTACTTTGACAGATTCTCTAGTACTTAGATCATGACCAACTATACTCCTGTCTAAGGTTATGTTTTTGGTTACTTGAATGGTTTTGGATCTTCACAAGATCACCTTTCATGGGTGTGAAGTGGCAGTTTGGAATGTCGCCTGGTAGGCATTAAAGGTCATAAAGTCCTGACCAATTTTGGAAATCTCCGGAGTTACTTTTCAATAGAGATAAATTACATGGGGGTCATGTTCTCTGTTTTATTTTGGTTTCTCAACTACTAATTTTGTCATTTTAATCCTTCAAGTTTGTAATTTGTTTATAAATTGTTTGATTATTCATTTCCATTCCAATAATCAGCAGAATGGATATGTGACCACCAGGGTTATATAACCTTTCAATAATTTTGTGATTGGGAAATCTTATTAAATATTGTTTGATTTGAAGTGATAATCCACCAATAACTTTTTGGTGCACACAACTAAATTTTGTTTCAAAATGGTCTAACCGACAAATCAGTAATGAAATATTAAAATTCATATATTTTGAAGTTTTTCGACGTGTTTCGATTAATGTTTTGTAAACAAGTTTTTACTTTTTTTTCTATGTTTTTATTCTGTTTTCGAAATGTTTCTAAATCATTTTCATTTTCAAAGTGATCGAAATTATACACCAAAACAAAATTTTGATCTTTGTTGGCACATGCTTGTTTGTATCACACGGAGTAGTGTAGCAACCGGTATTAATACGTCTTGATCAACTGATTTTTGGCACGATAACTTTCAATTCAGTATTGTTTTACCTTCTGTTTGAACCTGGTTCTTATGAGATTCGGCTACATTATTTGAAATATTTGTGAGTTAATGATATGATTCTATTTAGGATTTGATTTAGTTTCTTATTTAGTTCTTTATCTAGTCAATTTCTCTACGGGCTTCATGCCCGAAATCTTGGAGCTGTTGAACCTTATTTTAGGCCCTTTGATTTTGTTTCCTTTTTGGTTTGGATCTTCCACTATAAAAACTTGTAGATGTTGTATGGCTGGTTATCAAATGAATAATATTATTGCCTTAGGGATTTGGAGGTCCGATCCCCTTGAAGTGATCACTTTCTCCTCTCTCTTATTTTACTTCACTTTTCTGATTCAAGACTTATCATTTGGTATCAGAGCACAACATTTTTTCATCAAAATGGCGAGAACTAATGCAAAGTGTGATGAACAACTCAATCACCATGGTGTTGTGTTAGATAAACACAGAAAATAATGCAAATCTTCAAACTGTTGTGATAGACATTGGCAAGAAGCTTGATGTACTCATGAAGTTGTTGTCACAACCAACCAAGGATGGAGCGGGATCAACTTTCAATCCATCATGCTCACGAGTGGTGTATCCGACAGTGTTGCATCATCGCGAGTACCGCGGAAGAGGGTCATGGGAGAAGCTGCTATGCTTGTAGAAGAATCTCATCATTGCTTCCATGATGGATATGGTTGGGATCGAGAGCAAGGATTCCCTCGTGAAAATTGAATTTCCATGATGGGATGAAGGAGATCCTTATGGATGGATTTCACATGCAGAACGATTTTTTTTGGTTCCATTGAACAACGGAGAATATGAAGGTAGAAATTGCTTCAATCAATCTTTGACGGTGAAACGATCCAATGGCATGATTGGTTCAAATGTAATCAATTGTTCCAATGTGGGAAGAATTTGTAGATGGTTTGATGGTCGGCTTTGGCCCCTCCAGTTATGACAATGCGCCTGGAGAACTTGCAAAATTTGACCGACATCTTCTGTCCTGAAATGTCCAGGCATATTTGAGCGTCTTTCAAATCAAACCCGAGGTTAATCAGAATTTTTGTGGAAGGAAAACCTGGAATTCGAAGAGAAATCAAAGCATATCGACCACGCACGATAATGGCTGCCCTCTTTTGTGCACATAAAGGAAGAACGCTTGTTGGAAGATGAAAGATGGATCAATCGAAACTATTCCTCAAGGAGTAGTAGTGATTTGAACCTGGAAAAAGTATCTCGCTCAGTTGCTCCAAACAAGGGCATCATATTATGTTCACATTGCTAGAAATAATGGTTTTGTTGTGCCTCAAAGGTCACCACACTCGTTTTATATCATAGGTTTACGATTGCAAAGTAATGGTTTTAACTTTTACCTTCTGAGAAAACAATCTTTATAACTCTTATACACAACTGCCAGCAAAAAATAAAGGACACAGGCTGAATACATAGGAGAGAAGAGAAAGTATTAAGTACTATAACAACTATGGTTGTGCCTTACTATGTTATAATCCTTTGATGATTGGATGCTATCTGTGAGAGTCGTATCATTGTTATTATTGATATTTTGTTGGAGTGATTGATAAAGTGGAAGTAAACTCTACATGATTTTCAACTGTTATGAGCTTTCTACCAATGTTTTATGTCATTTAGCTTCACTTGACTGAAAAGGTAAAAGATTTGTTGACATTAATATTGTAATAATTATGTTGTTGATTGACTGGAAGTAGTCTTAAATATCGACTTGCATTCTGAATAGCACTTTAGAAAGCAAAATTCTCAATCTAAAAAAGCCAAACAAAGAAAGTACGAGGAAAAAGGAAAAAAGTATATAAAATTTGAAAGAATGCTTGACATTGATCTTTAAGTTGCCAAATGATAAGCTTAGTTGTGTGCAAATTGTACACACTATGCATAATTTGTGTATCATATTGCTTGCCCTATGAAAGTTGCCCTAACGTTCTTTAGTACTGTATGTACAAATGTAGTCCGGGTAACTGTGAAGCATTTATCTAAAGGAATTTTACTGAAACAGTTCTAAAAAATGTAATAACATGTAAAAATCTGGTTGTCTTAAACATTATTGCTGTCTAGCTGCACATGAGCTTTGTTCATCTTTAGGCCCATATTTTGTATGTTTGAGTAGTCAGATTTGATGGTATGTATCTATACAGCAAATCAGCTATAAAAACAATCATCAATGGCGCTATTTATTTGTTGTACATACATTATTTATTTATTTGTTCTTCCTTTATCTCCAGCTTTCACGACCATTTAAGTTGTGTTGTAATGCAGAGAACTGTTAACTTCACTGCGCTTGGTTCTAATAAAGTTACGAAGAATTTATTAACTATTTGAGATATTCTTTTTGCAAACTGCTGCTTTTATAGAACTTTAACATTGCCCTTGTACTTTGGATAAATTGGATCCACTGTTTTGGTCGAAATTGTTTTGTTTTTGTTTAATTGTTGGTTGCTGTGGCTTTTAGGTGTACTAAATCAAATCGTGCTGCTGATGGTAAACCCTTGGATGCTTAAACTAAAAAAATAAGAGTTTTGGATGGGTTACTGCATTCATTTTGTGGGACAAAAAAGAAAGCCGGCATCGCACTCTGTAATTCAGTATTTATTAGCTTAGCCATGTTGGGTGGATCATGGAAGGGAACGCCATAACTACATAGGCAAACTGCCATTTGCTGACTTTCAAATGTCTAACTTTTCATTCCCCTACTGAAAAGGGACGATTCTGCTTTCCACCACTGATAGACTACTTAAGATTCATATCAAAATGCCCTACTTAGTTTCTCAAGCCTTTGTTCGAGGAAGTTTCTTATTGGAAAATTAATGTTCACCTCATATTTCTGTCTGCTCCAATTATACTCCTCACTCCTGATATCATGATTGTTGATATAGGTGTTTGGAGTTTAAACTGCAAGGAGAGAGTAAAGATCTTTCCTTGGTGGAAGAAGATAGGGAAAGGGATGACAGTGATTGCTCGTCGGATGAAAAATGGAGCAGGTGCTGGTGGCAGAAGTGAGGCAGCCGAAAACCAGGCTTGGCCAACTACTGCATGTATTCTAAGCTTCAATTCGAGACTGATAGCTTTCCTGGGAAAGGACATTGAATGCCCCTTACTACCATGTACGTATATGTTTTTGGACCTTTGGCCGATTCTGTAGTAGCATGCCCAGCCATATTCCTGTCTAAGGCTATGTTTTTGGTTACTTGACTGGTTTTGGATCTTCACAGGATCACCTTTCATGGGTGTAAAATGACAGTTTGGAATGCCAGCTTAGTAGGCCATAAAGTTCATAAAGACATCTTTTGGAAATCTCCTAACTTTCTGGTACATGAGTCATGACTTACTGTGTCACTATGAAAGTCATAAATATTATGCTTCTTAGGTTATAAACCATTCAAAGATAGTCCAGTGGTCCCTTATGGTCAATGGTTTTATTGACAGCCAGAGGTTCCATTTGTGGCACTGCAGACACTTTTTGAGTGGTGAATGGTTTGTATCTTTTTTGGTCGGATACTATTACTGGGGAGGGGGACTAAAGGATTGAACACGCAATCTTAGTTTGTTTGCGTCAATTGAATTTAAGAACATTTTTTTAATTAATTGGTATTTATTGGTGTAAGAATTAGATAATCAAACATTTTGGTGGGAATATATTTATCCCAATCATGATGTTCACATTTACTCCAGAGAAGAGATTGATTTTAAAAACATTGTAACATTTGGGGTCATCTTACAATTTTTATAATTCAAGTTATACATTTTTTCCTGTCCCATATGAAGAATTGAAAACAATTTTTTTGGATTAATTGAAGAAACAACCCACGAGATTGTACTTACTACACTCAACCAGAGAAACTATAAAATTCAAACCCACGGCCTTAAGGTTTAACAATGAAATCAATAATTATTAGGTCAACTGATAATCTCGTTTCACTAGCACTCTCAATTCTGTCATTTTAGCAAAGAAATTAAAGTCCCGAAGAATGATCTATAGAAAAGAAGACAAACTTACTAGAAAGGTAAAGGGGAACTAAGAAACTCACATTCCACGTTTCCTTGTGAATGGAACTGCCACAGTTTCCGACCTGCACACTACACTAACTCATTTAAATTTTAACTACTTAATCACGGCAGCTCATTACAGTAATCACTTAAATTTTAACTTTTTAACTGTAGTAATTCTATCCATACATTAAAAAAAAAAAAAAAAAAGGAATGAGACACGACTAGTTTTGAGATAAGAAATGGCATTACAAAAATCACAGTTTTTACATAAACAATTAGCCCCGAATAGAAGCAGCTAAGACGTACACCATTACACAGTATCTTAATTTGAGTTATGCACAGTAAAAACCACAGCAGCAAATGCTTACCGCTTGTTTACTTCATGCCCGTAATCAGTCCTCGTGCTCTGGCCCATGGCATTCTCGCGTCGACCCAGATATTATGGAAATGATAAGTTCGTTATCAGCCCGCAAAATTTTGGCTACGATTTGAATAAAAATCACCCTCAAATGGGATACTTTGACATAAATTCCTAGGAACCTGAACTGATTCAAGGCTCCATGGTTCTAGAGAAGTTATAGTTACCACTCTTTATCAGATTACTCCATTTTGCTTTCCTCATTTGAAGCGGATTCGTGTGCCACAGCATTTTTGTCGTCAATCAAGACTTTCTCATCAATTTCCCCATTTGATCGACTCTCAAGTGGCAAGTCAACATTTACACTTGCAAGGGGTTCCACTAGTGTAGTTTCATCCAACTTACTTTCAGGTGGCATATCCTCCTGTGCACCATCTGCAGAGGCAGATGTATCAGTGTCCATCATTGAACCCTGCAGGTCGTTTTGCTCAGATGTACTAATTGTGGAAGCCTCTCGGTCTGAATAAGCTGAAAACTGGTCATACTGATGACTCATCATTTGTGCCTGACACAAAGAATAGGTTCCATTTTAAAAAGATTGGTGAACCATGATACAAAGATTAGTCAAATATAATAGAAAATACCAAGCGAAGGGCCCATGAATTAAGCTGTAATAAGAAAGCTTGCTAAAATTTGAAGAGACACAGATGGTGTAAGTTAGCTGAGGCAGTAGACAGCCATATTTGCACTCCTTAACTCCAACAGTACGACCCATTAAGTCTCATGATATCTAAGACAAAATTAATTAACAATGCTATTGAAAATATGATAGACAATTCATAGAATCACCTGAAGATATGTCCTCCCTCCCTCCCTCCCTACCTACATATTTTTAAATGGATGGAAAAACTGTTGGGAGAGGAGGAAAAGTAAAGTTTAGAGAAAACAAAGGTAAAACATTTAAAGTGGTGAAGTTTGGCCAGATTATCATACGAAGCAGATACACATTTGGAAGAAATTCAAATGAGTTAGCTTTCAGATGAAAACAAGCAGGAAGCATCCACATTCCAAAATAGAATGGAGCATCGGTTGTTTGCAAATCAATACTCAGAAGAGGCTCAGCAAAGAGGAGGCAGAAGAAACCAGAACAGGAAGTATTACTTAACAAAGGAGGAGCTACCTTTCTGTCCTCGGTTGATGTTGTCTCTTTAACAGAATATCAGAACTATAGAGACAAGCCATAAGGAAATGAAGAGAAAAACATTCTGTTTTTTTCTTTTCTTGTGTTTGTTTCATGCCTCTGTGTGTGTGTTTTTGTCTCCTTTTTGTGCCGAGGGAATTGGTGGGCTTTGGGTGGGGGTCAGGGTCCAGATCGTGGTGACAAGGAGATATCTGGGACTCTGGTCTTCTAGAAAACCCATGCAAGTAAATGCAGCCCTAAAAGAGACAGCCCGAAGGGAAACTCAAGCTCAAGACCTACCACTCATTGAAGTCCACATTACATTGACCATGAAAGGCTCCAACAAGGTTAATGGATCATGGTTTTGGTCACTGAATTAACTGCAAACGATGAAACAAAGGCAATATTGAGCATGACCATAAACAGAGAGTACCTTTCAACCAACTGCTAAATCCTCACTGTCTACAGAATTCACAAACATAGGAACTAAAGAAAAACTCTGAAACTGAATTCAATTTCTCATATTTAGAAGATACCTGATACATGTGATGTATTTTGTAATTGACTATGCTCGCCATCTCTTCGAGACCACTGACAAGTTGAATTGGTCCAGTGTCTTCAACATGACGAACTGTTGATGATGTGACCTCATTCAAATTCAATGCAAGGCAATCAGGCCGCTGGAGCAATATTTGAAATGTAGGTTGTAGTTCATAGCATTGTTCAAACAGAGAACGGCGACAAAAAACATAAAGCCCCAGTCTTGCACGGGACATGGCCACAATCAATCTTCTAACATCACGAAGGTGGCCCACAAAACGAGTACGCACAAGAGACAGCAAAATAAAATCATTCTGCTGACCTTGAAACTTGTCGACCGTGGTAACCTACAAACAATTCATTGATGAAAAAAGTGCTAATATTCTATGGAAAGAGAAAAGCACAAAAATAACAGCCACACAAAATTTAGGAACCCTGCACATCCTACTTCCCTGCATGTTGCACAGGGTAGATCACATTTGGACATCATTTGATGGCTCCTACCACAGTGCTTGTTGGCTTCTCTCCAATCTGATCAGAAAAGCCGAACATCTACCTAGATGGTGTCCACAAATGACATCCCAAAAGCCTCATATTATGAATTACCATAACTATCAGGTCAAAAATGCACCCACAAGATCTCAAAATATGAGACCATCTGGAAGATTGCATTGATGTTTCTACAATCCTACAATGCTATGTTTGGAATATTTTTTTCAGTGGATTATAAGAGAAATATCATCCTAGTAGAATTTACCTTGCTTGGTGGACCAATGAAGCCATACGGAGCACATCTTCTGTTAATAACATCACGGATCAGAAGTTTCTGGCCATTGTAAGTCGTCAAAATGGAAATTTTATTTGCAGGGTACCCCAACAAGCGCATGTACATATAGACACTGACGATATATTCAGCCTCTCCCTCATTTTGATAAAACCAAGGAGAAGGGGCACTCTCGCCTCTCCCATGGTAATCAGGCACATCTACTAACTGATAGTCAAAGGAGAATCCAGAATTTGCGCGATTGAAAATAGCATTTTCCTTCACATAAGGAAGATCCCCAAGTTCTCTATACCTCCAGTTGTAAAGTCTGGCTAAACTTGGCCTGGCTCTACCCTGGGCATTGAGCTCAATATAAGGAATTCCTAAACGAACAAACCTTGTGAATAGACTCTGATCCATGTGACTGTACTTCTGAAAAGCCATGTTCTTCACAACAGGAGGCAACTGGTGATGATCACCAATCAATATGCATCGTTTAAGCCGAGCATAGCCATCTTCCTGCCTCTGGAGCAACATCGGGATAAAAGTTTCAATCTCCAAGATTTGTGCACTTTCTTCCATCAACAAATTGTCGTACTTGAAGCCAAACTGAAGAAAATCCTTCCTTTTTAAAGCTGCATGCGTGCAAGTCATTGCAACAATCTTTGCCTGTTTGGTCATTAGGTAATTTGCACGATCAACCGTTGACTTCAGCAATTCAAATGCCCTACACTCTTCAAGCTCTTGGAACATAGTTTTAAGATGTTGAAAGCACCCCTTAGCTGCATGCATGTCTTTCTCAAAGGACTGACCTGTAAACACTGGCTGAGGGGTGTTTGAGAAGAACTCCTTAAAGGGAAAGCGGTCCTGAACAAATGTTGGTTTATCTTGATTTTCAGCACAAGCAGCTAGAAATTGTTCCCAGCGTGAGTAGACATGAAGCAACCAAAAGTACCCAGCAGTTTCACAAGTATAACCTACATCCTCAGGCAACTGGAGAGATCTCGCAAGGCGTTCTACTTCACTAAGCAATTCTAACCTTCGAACGAGCATTGCATTCACACGGCCTTGACGGCTGAAGTCAAGATCAGTAGCTAATTCTTGTTCACCTTGACCAAGTCGAAGAAGATAGCGAGCAGGCACATCCCTCTGTCACAATTAATGATGACATACATAAAACCATAATTACATACCCACAAAGTACATGGTCAAAAAAAGAAAGAAAAGGACATCTACATGTAATTATAAGGGGCATTCTCATCTGCACAGAATTTATTGCAAAGAAAGGGCTAAAATAACCATCTCTAATAAAATTTCATACCTGCATTATCTTCTCAAAAAGATCATTCAAAGCCTGATTTGAATGAGTAATTATTAATGTTCTCTGAGAAGGACAATTGTGATAAAGCACATTTAATATTTGCACAGCCGTATCAGTCTTTCCTGTTCCAGGTGGACCCACAACCATAGATAATCCAGGCTGAATACCTGAGATGATTGCTCCAATCTGCATAACCCGATGTGAAAAGGCAGTCTAAGCAGACAAAAAATTATAAAACTCAACAAGACATTTATCACAACTATTTGGGATCTGCTACATGAATCCTATTCTCCATTATGCTCTATTAAAAAGTGAACTTGTGAGCTATCATATCCTTTTACTATTTCATTCAAATGTTTATTTTGGTCTACCTCTACCTCTTGCAATTACCACCATTATCACTGATATGTATCAAACAATTCTTCCGCGTTGTTACAACTTATATTACAAGGTCTTCTATAAACATGTCAAAATCACCTAAGCGGGTCCTCTCTTAATTTATCTCTTATTGGTGCTACTTCTATGGTTTCACAAATATATCATTTCTTCTTTTACCATACAACCATCATAAAAACCTCATTTCTTTGGCGCTAAGTTTTTGAGTGTGTTGTTTCTTAATTGCTCATCATTCTATACCGTGTAACATTGTTGGTATATTGGTTGTCTTACAGACCTGACCTCTCAACCTACAGGGTATAATTCAATCACCAATAAATTACACATCACAGATAAAAGCATCGTTCGGTATAAAGGGGGATAAAACTAAGCGTAAATTGGTTAAATAAGTATTCTCGCAATCTTCATTACTCGACAAATACTAACAGGGTTTCTGCAAAATTTCAAATAATACAAGGGATCTCATTGAAGATAGGGTAATCTACAAGGGGGTGTGGAGGAAATTTTCCCTAGTTGACATTGTTGATGCTGTAACTTATTCTTATTTGAGGAACAAGGAACTGAACAATCTCAATGCGCACATAGTAATAGACTTCTAGAAACTAATGCCATTATATATATTCTTTTCCAGAAAAGACAATTAACATCAAAAGAACCAAGGGAGGTGTGGTCTGTATGCATGAGCAATCTAAGACTAAGAGTCACACATCTAAAGTATCAGGGATCTTCTCTGAGAGACAAATCAACATGATTTTAGGCTTCACATGCCCAAACATACCCTTGTTTAATTCTTCCACGCACACAACATATTGTCCTAACATTAAAACCTTTCCGAGAACCATGTAAATCAACAGCCAAACACTGATAATACTGAACAGGGATAGCTGTAAACGCCAAAGGTTTCAATCCATTTTATAGCTCAATGCGAAAGCAGTAAATGATATCCCCTTTAATTACGCTTCCTAAGATGGACAAACAAAAAAACGGACAGAAATCTTCCCATGTAGAAGGCACTGCTGCAATATGGTTTGAATTTATACGAGTGTCAGCTAAAATTACCAGGGATGCCTTATTGATGATGCAAACAGTGTATCAATGGTCAGGATTTTCAGTGTTGGAAAACACATGTAAGCAACCATGATAAAATATTTTCTGAGGAAGTGTGTATGTGCAGATTCTGTTACAGAGAATTGCCAGTCCATATGATCATATGATGTCAAATTAACCTTGGATTCTTGAGACCAACCATCAGTAGTTGGAATAAGACAACAGGTCTTTCCACGCTTGAGTTGTTGAATCCAAATCCAAGAAATTCTAATAAGATAACGCAACTGGCAATCCATAGAACTCAAAGAACAGAATTGTGAAAAAGAAACATGGCAAAAATGGCAAGAACAACATAACCTTCACTAGCATTTATAATTCTTAAAATGATTAAGAATCACCAAGCACCTGCGTGGGAGTAAATCTAACGGAGTTTTGCTTTGGTTGATCTTGGGGGTATGGACCCGGGTCAGGAGCGATATAGGCCTCCACGGTAAGTATTTCTTTCTCTGGACAGCCATTCACCATACTATCAGCATTCCCCGGAGCAATGGTGGACTTCACATTTCCAGGAAGACCATGAGGATTGCCTTTCAGATTTCTGGGAAGCCTAATGCGAAAGGGGGGTCTTGGCTGTAAATTTTCGGTGTCATCCGAATTTACAAAGCAAATCTGAAAACAAGAACAAATTTAAAAAAAAAAAAGAAAAGAAAACATAAACTAAAAGATAATCTTAGTCCAATCCATTATGCAAAATGGGCCAAACTGTGATAGAGAAACCTAAACACCAAAAAATTTTCATCATATGAAGAGTGAGAAAAGAATTCAAACCTGATAATCTGAAAAACTCTCTGTGACATGATGAGAATCAAGGAAAGTATCCTTAAAATCTACTGTCTCCAGAAGATCAGGCATGTTAGTCCATTGTGCTGCAGCAGGATTCCCATAACCCAAAAATATGTCATGCAACCAATCAGGTACAATACAAGTTTCATTCATTAAATCTCTTATAGATTCTAAGATTGCTTTGAAATTGTTTTCCTTGGGTTTCCTCCTCATCAATATGTTGAATGTACCATAAATATCTTCTGTGCCCCTCTCCGCAATATCACTAACATCCATGTGATATTGAGCTGTATCCAACGCAATGGTTACAGTTCTTAGTTCACCTTTTGGAGGCTTCCATTCATCCCGCTTGATTCTCCCTGTAAAATCATTCATGAGAGTTCCCTCCTCATCACGAATCTCAATGACTTCACATCCGCGTACATATTGAAGCCCAAGCCTTTGCGGCACAGTTGCTTTGGCATCCTCATCTACACTTAGAGGCTCAAATGAAGGACGAATAGTAAGTAAAAAGAGAACATCATGTTCTTTAAGGGCATTCCATTCTGATCTTATTTGTGCTCTATAACTGGAAATGCTAAAAGTAACTTCTGCTTTCACAGCTGATGGTTTGACTTCTCCAATATTTGGTTGCTTTACCGCACTAATCTTGAATTCTTTAATTGGTACAGCCATTCTTGACCAACCACGAAAAGCAGTTTGCCCTTCATTGTTAATGTAAGGAAGGAGGTGTGGCACGGCTTCCTGAATATCCTCGCGGATTTCATATGTAGATTCAAGACGGAAGAGGTTAAAGTTTCTAAGAAGATAATCGTGGAGTGTTAAAAATTGGAGATTAAGTTTTGGAAGTGCCAGACACCCTTCCCCAGAGAAGTTGATGCTTGGTACAAGGCTTTCGTCCCACATTATCTGCTCATTTGGGTAAAGCGGAAGGGCATTGATGGCTTCTTTTTGAGACTGTCGTTTCTCAAAAAATGAAACTACGACTTCAATGAGGAAGTCAACTCTTTCTGACCATGGATCATTCTTTGACAGCAGTTTGAGCTGGAATCAGGCAAACAATATTTCAGCCATGCAAGCATTTGACTTTCAGAAAAAATCCAACTCAAACATAAATAGACAAAATACAAATAAATGGCATGGTGATAAGAGGAAAAAGACAATGAATCTCCTGTCTAGAAGATCTCTTTTTCACTACATTAACAATCCTTCCCCCCACCCCCCCCCCCACAAAAAAAAAAACCCCAAAAAAGGGGGATTTAAGCAAATAACCAAATATAATACTTGGATTAAATGTGAAATTGGCAATTTTTCTTACATCTCCCACCCCCAAAGCCCGGTTATCAGATATACCCTCAAAATAAAGGGCCATGAATACTAGAAGAAAGCATCTATACCCAGCAAGATTAAGTGAATATCTAAAATTACAAACATATTATTTGCATCTTCCCATGCATAACCAAAGAATGGAAAAGATTTTCCATGCGTCTCAGATCTCAGAAGTGCATGATAAATGCTGCCAAATCCCACTACTACCGTGGAAATTAAATGATGTATTCCAAATATGAAATAGAAAAGTTGTCCACTAAGATTAAAATTTCGTTTCGGTATATGTTTCGTCACCTAAGAAATGGAAATGTTTCGACGTGCTTTGGAAAGTTTCAACCCGTTTAGGAAATATAATGAAAAAAATAAAAAAATTAAGAATTATTTTTTCAAAATATTGGTTGCAATACATCAAAGTATCTTGAAATATCTAGAAACATTCTGAAACAATGCATTGAAATATTACAAAACATCTCAAAACATTATGGAATACCTCGAAATATTAAAATTTTGATTTCATCACTAATTCGTTTCGGTCTCCTCGAAAACGGAAACGTTTCAGATGTTTCGACTGTTTCAAGATGAAATTTTGATCCTTGGTTGTCCATAACTTCCCCAATAGGACCTAGCCCCCACCTAGAGTAGCTAGACATTCCACTAAATCACCAGATTAAAACCCCCCGAGGACCTCATCATTAAGGCACGACACTATCACCCAAACAAGCCTTTATCCAACCATTTGGGGTAGGCTGGATGCCTGAAACATCTATGCTCCCGCTTTGGATATCTCTTCCAAAGACATCCCTTTTGAACGCAGAAACCAAGATCGTCGAACATCCTGCAAGCCTCCTCCCATGGCTGGCCCTTTCTTAAGCCATAACTCAAATGATCCAAAGCAATCACGTTTTCACAGACTCCAACATCTTTGTTTTGGCCTTCCTCTTGTTCAACTTGAATCAAAGAAGCCACACAACTGGTCTATTGGTTGGACTACATTGCTATGACAACTAGGACATTCAGGTGTAGCACTGAGTTATAGAAGGATGCACACATTTACAATCTCTTTAAATTATTGCCATGATAAAAAAATCAAAAAAAATAAAAAGTAATGATATTAGTACGATGGCTAATTTCTACATATTTTACCACTGAAATTTAGGGTTGGCCAACATCACCATGACATAAAAATAGAGAGACATCATATAAATTGAAGAGTATGCATATCCTTTCCGCTAACAATTTCTGCAGCTCATTAACTGATACCTACACACCAACCCCTACTACAGCTTCGCACCAGTCACAATATGGACAAACAAGATACAAGTAAGAAAATTGTTAATGCAACAACATATATTTTGCCCACGCCTTTTCATGGTCTTTTATAAGTCCTAGCAGGTATATGTGCCCATAAAAGTTCAAGATTAGAGTCCTAGATGTTGATGTAGTCCATCAGATGAGTGTCCGAAATGCAACATCTTTCTATTTACAAGCTAACTGCTCAACGCTATAGACTTTATAATAAAGATGATACGAGGTACCATTAAAACATTAACCAGAGTTAATTCTAGTATATTAAAATAAGTAGGAAAAAGCAAACAAATGAACTAATAGCACAATTTTAACTTCAATAGTGCATGCCCAAAAAAGGACTAACCAATAAGCCACTTACAGACCTTACTGCAGACAAAATCCCTCAGTCCTTCAGGAGAAAGCACAGCCAGTTTCTTTGAGAGATCGGCACGCCTGTTGATTCCACCAATGTTAGCCAGCGCTAGTTCTTGCAACTACAATGACAAAGGGGGAAAAAGTATAGTTGAAATGTTATTGAAGTGCAAAATACATAAAAACCAGTTAAATTATATATGATACATATACATGGAACCCATAAGAAAGTTAACAATTCATGTAGAAAAGCAGCTGATTTAAAATTTCCAAAAAGAAAAAAGAATCCACCAAAAATAAAATAAAAAAAAAACAACACCTCGGGAATCTTCTTAAATGCAAGAAGCTGGAAAGACTGGAGTCGGTCATAAGGAGCTTGAAGCACCTCATCATCGGTCATTTGTCTCCCGAAATGATCATCAATCTCAAAACCTTCATAGAACTGTAGCAAGTCAACCAACTGTGCAAAGAGTTTCCCTTTGTCATGTCTATAAAGAGCACTTAAATGGCATTTGGCAACAACAGCGACATCAGCAACAAGAGGCCTAATAAATCTGTAACACCACAACCCCAAATAATAACACAACATGAGAAAACCAGCTGCCCAATGACTACGAAACAACCTATTAGTATAAAATACAAAACTAACATTTGGCAACCCACAACCACCTCTACAAGCTTATAGTGTAAACTCTTACAAGCGGAGCATGGAGGGAAAGTAGTTAAGAACTAAATCATCGAAAAGAATCATTTATTAACTAATAGCAATACAGCAAAAGAAACTGAAAACTTTCCAATCCAACAAGTCTTCCTTCCAATGTAAAAATCCTATACAAATCATTACACAAGAACTCCATACACCTAAAGATAAGTTTCTGAAGTTAACCAAAAGAATGATACATTTTCCCAATGTTACTTGTGCCACGAACCCATATAGCCAAAAAAGGAGTCATAATGGTTGTTAGAGTATTTTAGAATATTAGTATTAACGGTAGTTTACTTATTTACTTTATTTTGTATTGCCCTACTATATAAGGGCCTCTATTGTCTATCTTAGGTTTAGTTGTAACAAAATTATATAGCCGCTATAATATTTTCTCCGGTTTCTTTTTTTTTGTTATCTCTTATGTTATGGATTTTTCATTGTTTTTATGGAATCAGAGCCATGTTTCAATCCAAAACACATTTTAAAATCACATTAAGTTCATCAGAGGAAGAATATGGTTCAACCTAGGGCTGACGTCACCCTTCTGGGTGCAATGACGTCATGCTAACATCATCTTTCAGGGCAGTTTTCCGGCACCTCTAGACTCAATTGGGCTTTCTACTGGTATGCTTGGGTTTTGATGCTCAAATTCCGGCTTCAAGGTTGTTGGAGTTGGGCTGCACTGTGCATGACTTTTCTATTCAGATTTTGGGCCCTTCTTCCTCCGGTGCTGTTTTTGTGGACTTCTGTCTACTTTGGGCACTACCTCGCAGTGGGCACTCAGATTTTACTGGTACTGTGTTACTCGAGCAATTTAGAGTGGATTTGATTGAGATTTTAGCAGATCTGGTACTCGGCAATCACTGTACACCATTGTTGGCCTTTATTCCCTACTATCTTGGCTATCCCTTGTCTTGTGGTGCTGGTTTGATCTGCTGTTTGGATTGCTGATTTTGTAGGCTCGCGCATAGTATTGCACAGTGTTACATTGAACAACAGGAAATAACCTTGCTTCCTTCCTACTTGTTGCTGGTGTTTGAACTGTGTTTGAACTGGGTTGGGTTTCAATTGTGCTGCGCTGGACTTTGCTCAGTTTATTGGGCTGGGCTACACTGTTTGTTTCTATCCTACTACTATCAGACTGAAGCTATTTGTGATTAGTAGGCTGCTTTGAGTTGTTTCCTTTCTGGTTTGATAAATTGCTAGAGTTGGCCTTGGACTTGCCAGATTTGGATTTCTCCTGTTACATTTGTGGCTAGTGAAAATTCTAATCCTTTGCAGGCCAATAGTGCAAAATCAACTCCCAATTTGAGTATAATTGCTTATCAATTGCAAAAGTTTTCTCATTCCAGCATCCTAATGCTCTTTCAGTTCTATCTTCAATAGGTTCATTCACTTCAGGTCCTTCGGATATACCTCAAGCTGCTGGGGTTTTTGATTCAGGTGCTGCACATAACATGACCAGTGACTCACCTTTATTTGCATCTCACTCTCCTCCATTTGTATTTATTCCTACAGCCTGGTACTCAAATGATCTTGGATGGTGTCGGCGCTATTATTTCTCCCCCCTTACACTTTCAGATGTCTATTATATGCCTCAACTTACTTTGAATTTGAAAACAGTTAGTCAGCTATTTGATTCTAAATTTTCAATTCAATTTCCTTCTTTTGGTCATGTTGTACGGGATTCACATTCCAAGAAACTAATTGGGACAAGTCACAGAGAGGAAGGGTTATATATGTTATACGAATTACATGTTCCAAATATTGCAGCCTCTACTATTAATTTGTCATCTTTTCATTTGAATCCATAGTCTTCTAATTTTTCCTTGTGACATTCTCGTCTTGGTCATATTTCTCATTCTCGTTAGAAGTACTTAGCCTCTGCTAGTAGTTTGGATAGTGTCATGACATTCTAGTTGTAACAGATACAAATTAGCTAAGTTTACTGTGTTGCCTTTTACTAAAAGGTTTACTAATTCTCTTGCACCATTTGATCTTGTTTATTTCTGATTTATGGGGACCTACTCCTATTTTCACAAAAGGAAGGTATATATATTATATATTATATATCCTTCAATGATTATATCAAATAATTTTGGGTATATCTTGTTAGAGTAATCTAGTATATTAGTAGTAGGGATAGATTAGTCATTTATGTTACTATGTTTTGTCATACTATATAAGACTCTTATTGTATAGTTTCCGGTTTAACGTTTTTGTAATACATATTTGGTTATTCTTAATGAATATCTCTTTCTCTTCTTTCCTCTTTCTTTGATAAATATTAACATGGGGTCGAGCTGCTTCAGATGAGTGTAATTTTTTGTCGTGAGAAGGGTCACTAATAAGCTCAATGTCCTAAATTGGTGAACAAGAATGTCAAGGGGGCCTTACATCAGCCATTTAAGCCCAAAGATCGTTATACAACAACAACTGCTTCACCGGTGGATGAGTCACTCCCATCAGCTCCCAACATGACTAAAGAGACAAAAATCAATAGTGAACTTGCGATTCATAGAGTTACTAGTCCAGTCCGCATCAGAATAGGCACGGAGTTCCAGAAACGAGGAGGACGAAAATAATAAACTCTAATGCAACGTAACTCGCAGATACTGAAGAATCCGAAGAACGGCAAGCCAGTGAAGAGTGATAGGAGCAACAACAAACTGTTGTGGCTAGATCTTTTGCTGAAGCTAAGTATCATGTTATGGCATCCACCATAGAAGAGATAGTTTAGTTGCGTTAGTTGCTTGCTAATCTTGGCATTTCCTTATCTACTCCTAATCTTATGTATTGTGATAACACCAGTGCTATCCAGATCGCTCACAACTCGGTGTTTTATGAGCACACTAAACATATTGAGATTGATTGTCACTTCGTGCGCCATCACCTTTAGTTGGGCACGATCTATCTCCCCTTCCTTCCTTCTATTATGCAATTGGTAGATTTTTTCACAAAATCTCACACTATCGCGCGCCTTCGTTTTGTTGCTCACAAACTCTTAATGTTTGATGCTACCATATCATGAGTTTGAGGGGGGATGTTAGAGTAATATAGTATATTAGCAGTAAGGGTAGATTAATCATTTATGTTATTATGTTTGCCCCTAGTATATAAGACTCTTATTGTGTAGTTTTCCATTTTAACGTTTTTGTAATACATACTTGATTATTCTTAACGAATATCTCTTTCTCTTCTTTCCTCTTTCTTTGATAAATAAATAACATATCTAATGAAGCATCTTTCTGAGTTCTTTATTATATTCACCGTCTTCCATGTCATGATATGCACCCGATATTCCTCTGTTATAAAATGTATTCGTTGTAACAAGGAGCAGAATATTCCTTCAATTCCTTTCAAAATATATTAAAAATTAATGGCACCACTTATCAATCCTTTTATATTGACACACCTACACAAAATGGTATAGCAAAGAGCAAACATCAGCTCATTATGGAGACAACACGCTACCTGCTGTTGCCTGCAAATATTCGAAGTTCTTTTTGGGGGAAAGCATTTCTTACTATGGTTCATCCGATTAATTATATTCCTAGTATTCTCTCTTCCGAAATCTTTCCCTTTGAAAATTTGTGTGATAAACCACTTGATTATTTTTCCTTCTGTGTATTTGGATGCACCTATTTTGTCTTGCCTTCGAGTACTCTTCGTACTAAACTTTCTGCATATTCCACTCTATATTTTTGTTGGTAATGGTGAGGACCAAAAAAATGTATCGTTGATATGATCCTATTACACATAAACTCTATGTTTCTCGTTCTATTGTTTTCTTGGAACATATAGTTCTTCACACTCACATAAATCTGATCTCATTTACATTAATCTATTTACAACTAATGTTCCTACTAACAATTATGTTTGTGATATGAATATCTCTGATGTGACCTCCTCTGAATTGCCTACCACCCGTCCTCCTATTGTTCTCGCAGCACTCCCGTTGTCTCTTCTACGGATGCAATGTCTCCCTTTTCTCCTCCTATCACTCAATCAGATTTTGACACTGTGGATCATACTTCTCACTATCTTCAACGATCTCGAAAGTGTCAAGATAGGTTTGGTTTCTCCAACTCTAACCATTCTTATAATTTTAGTTCATTTCCTACTTCTATTCACTCTCTGAATGAACCCACTTGGTACAAGGCAGCTATACTTCATTCTTTTTTACAACAGGCAATGGATTAGGAGTTATCTATCATTCATAAGATCTGAGCTCAGGAGCTAGTCTATTTACCTCTGGCAAATGCACCACTGGTCGTAAGTTAAAAAACACAGACACAAATACGGATACGGATACGATACGACACGATGACACAAAAGTTTTCAAAAAAAAAGGATACGGACAAATTGACTATTTTTCAAATAATATGTATTTACACACACACACACACACACATATATATATATATATGTATATATATACAATCATGTGATAAAATAAATATTATCATATTTCGTAATAATCTTTTAATTTATCATTCCCTAATTCTAAAAATTCACATCATGATATCACTGCATAAAAAATACGATATAAGATATACCGATACGCATTCAACATTAACATCTATTATCCAATAATTAATGACTACAACTTTTATTTTCAAAAATATTCTATTTCGTAACATTAATTTTCATTAATTTTCAAGAGCCCCAATTTTGAAACTCCATTTTTTCTCATATTACTTTCATATTAAAAATATATTCCATTTGCATATAAGTTCATATTTGTATCCAAAATTATGTTACATTCATGTTTTATGTTCAATGTAATGATTATAACTTCTTTTATATTATGTTTGACTCACTTCCCGTTAAAATTACGAAAATAACTCTTAATTATAAAATAATTTGAAAACTTATCACAAAATTGAAAATAAATTTCAAAACGTGTCCCCAGTGAGTTGGTCACGTGTCCCTAACATGTTCTTGGCGTGTCCAAAACATGACCTAAAAAAAATTTACCAATAAAAAAATCGAACACTCATTTTAACGTGTCAGACACGTATCCGTATCCTAAATGTGTTTAACACCGATACTCTGCCCAAAATGAAGTGATCGTGCTTCCTAGGCCGTGAGTGGGTTTATAAGATCAAAACTAAATCTGACAGTTATGTGAAAAAGTAGGATTTTGCTTAAGAGTATGACCCAAACTATAACGAGACTTTTGCCTTTGTTACCAAGATAACCATCGTAATACTATGATTGCAATAGTCGTCGTTCATCAATTAAGCTTATCTGAAATGGATGTAAAAACTAATTTTTGCCATAGAGAGTTATCAAAAAAGGTTTTTATGAGTCCTCTTGGAATGTCTCATAGTCCTGGTCAAGTATGCAAAGGTCACAAGGCTTTATATGACCTTAAACAAACTCTTAGGCATGGTTTATCAAGTTTTCATCAGTCATCTGTGACATAGGTTTTCATGCTAGTAATCATGATTATGCTTTCTTTCTACAGTCAATTTCCTCTGGTTTTATTGTTCTCTTACTTTCCACTTCCTCTAGTTCTATTGCTCTCTTATTTTACATTAATGATATGATTATTACATGTGATGACAATGTTAGAATAGAACTATTGAGAAAACAACTGCAAGATTATTTTGAGATAGAAAGATTTAGGTCAGCTTCGGTATTTCTTGAGGATTGAGCTCACTTCTTCTCTCAAAGGTTATTTGCTCTCTCAGTCCAAGTATACATCAGATATTATTCAGCGAACTCGTTTATTATATCATTGGACAATTGAAAGACCCTAAGAGCTCAATATTCGTTGTTCTTCCACGGATGATATTCTTTTGCTTGATCCTACTCTCTACCGCACCATTGTTGGGAGTCTTGATATATTTTATAATTAATTGACTAGTTATCTGTTATTTTGTTCATGTTGTTAGTCATTTTGTTGCCTTGCCTACCTTCACTTGGTTGTCTGTTGTTCTCCATATCCTTCAGCATACTGAAGGTACTCTGTATCAAAGTTTATTGTTCCCTTCCTCCTCTTCTATGGAACTCATACCTACTCAGATGTTGACTAAACTAGTGACTCTATAAAGCGCAACTCCACCACTAGTTTTTGTGTTTTTCTGGTGATTCTCTTATATCCTAAAAATGTAAAAAGCAAATTGTTACATGTTCTTAAGCTAAAGCTAAGTACTGTGCTATAGCATCTACCATAGCTGAGATAGTCTAGTTAGGATGACTGCTTGCTGAACTTGGCATCTCTATATCTACTCCTAGCCTCCTACCCTTGTGTATTGTGATAACACCAGTGCTATTCAGATTGCTCACAATTCGATATTCCATAAACATACAAAGTATGTTTAGATTGATTGTCACTTTATCCGCCATCATCGTCAGTTGGACACTATTTCTCTCCCCTTTCTTCCTTCTACCATGTAATTCTTGAATTTATTTACAAAATCTCACACCATAGCACACTTTCATTTTCTTCTTAACAAATTCTTGATATTTTCTGCTATCACATCAACAATTTAAGAGTGGATGTAAGAATATTTTAGCATATTAGTATTAGGGATAGTTCAATCATTTACTTTATTTTGTATTGCCCTAATTTAAGGTCTCTCTTGTGTATCTTAGGTTAAGTTGTGATAGACATATGTAGCGAGAATAATATTTTCTCTTGTTTCTTTTCTCATTATCTCTTTTGTTATGGATGTTTCATTGTTTTCAACGAAATCATTTATTTCTTTAAAATTTTCCACAAGAGACTAAAAATCAAAAAAGATAAAGAGACACAAAATCAACTCAACTAAACATCTACATAATAAAACAAACGTCCTGCTTTGACTAATAAAAGTCTAACAACAACCCAAATCAATTAGATACAACAGCTTATCTTAGGACTTTTTTGTGAACTCTTTAATCACAGTAACTGTACCAATTTACATTTAATTTAAATATTTTAATCATATTTACCTTTTAACCAAACTAAACATTCTAACCACGATAAAAAAAAAATTTGTTTTGCACGAGGCTACGCTAGTGTCACCATATACAAGCATAGCCACCATAGTGTAACATAACAAGTCTACAGTTCAAATATATGATGGTGCTTAAGTTTGCATAAACTCTGGCCTATTTTTCAGCACCCATGGTATTAACTAAAGTTCAATTCAAAAGCACCATGAAATCCATTAGTTCCTCGCAAAGAAACTATACTTTAAAGCTGTGTATCAAGAAATCTAGTTGGGTCATGGGATGCATGACAACATGAGTCATGCTTTTTAGTAGTGTACATCACAAAAGTGTAAAATGACATGTAGAAGAGGTAAAAATCGTCTATTAGCAAGTTATGCAAAAAATCCTTAAACTAAGTTTCCAGTAACGGGAGGTAAACAATTTTTTCGGGTATAAGTAAAACACGCAATCCATGTGCCAACCAATACTTGAGCCCTAAGAACCGGTGGAAAACTAGATTTTAAGAATGGTCATAAGATCAACTTTAACTTAAATGCATATGCTAATGCCTCCGAGCACACCATAAGTTGCATGCCTCATAGTTTGAGGCAACCCATATAGCTTACAACACAAAAGCGCAGCATAAAGGGAAGGAATTCACAGCCTCCAAGACTTGAAACAACATCTTCTCTTTTAATCTAACCATTGTTTGATGCAGAAAAGGGAAACACAGTTCTTCATTAGCTTCTATGGCTTTATCCCAAAAATAGATTCTTGTTATGTCACCCAAATCCTAGATAAGTAAATGTGACACAAATCTAATAAATCATTTATTTGTTAAATCTTATGATTGAAAGTTCAAATATTATATGAGACTGAATCAGTAAGTTAAAATAAACATGTTATGTTATGATGTGTACACATTACTGAGTCCTGAATTCAAGAGAGTTGTCGAGTCCACTCACCTCAACAACTTTTTAAATTGAGTTCAAACTTTGGGTCTTTGAATTCAAATTCAGTGTCACCACACATTGCAATGCATACCACAATTTTCCTATCCTCCCCAACCAACATCATCGAACGTGTCGTTTTATGTTCCCAATTTTATGTGTCCAAAGTTTTCAAGATGTTATAGTGTTTAACTCACTAACAAACATTAAACTGCTCAAATATCTCTCACAAGCATTTATTTTTTCCTGCCTAAACTTACCATGGAATAAAACTTGAAACTATCACCAGTAATAATTAATTTTCCGATATAAATCTATAACATAAAATAAGACAGGTTTCAATAAGTTCATTCAACGGTCTTAAATACACTTATCCAACAGCCACCAACATCCCACTCAAAACCATTCACATTGCACTGTGTCTTTAGGCATGGGTTCCCCCTAGTAATCATATACTTTATCATAACCTTGTGCATTTATCGATGCTCTAGAACACAAATGTAAAAACAATGATAAAATAAAATAATAGTAAAAATCGCAAGTACATCATACTGATGAGAAAAATAAAATAACAACTAAAAAAGAATGACGAGTGCATAATACAATAAGCTAAATGGGAAAACAAAGCAGGGTACAATGATACCTCCTTGTTGGTAGCTGACTCAGGAGATCAATTAGAAATTCCATAAACCTCTCGCAATACAGGACAGAGGCATCATCGAGTAGTTCAGAATTATTTTCATAAACAAGTTCATCATCATTCTGATGCTGTTTTTGACGGAAAACCTCGGAATCAAGTACCTGGCACCAGTAAAGAGAGGCTTTTCATGTCTTGACCACCCAAGATTATAGAACAAACGACAGAGTAGTTAATTCATTAAAATGACACCTCCAGAAACTCTTCAATCAGATTTCGCAAGAAGTTCACTTCCAGGGCGGTGGAGGGATCCAAAGGTTCCTCTCTTTTTGCTCTTTTTGTTCTCCTTTTCCATTTCTTAATCAGATCTGGATTAAGACAAAGCTCCATCTACACTTAAAGGGAAGCAAATAATATACCAAATTACAAATGCTGGGAAATAGAAAGAGAAGGGGGGAGGGGGGTCTTTTTCCAAAACATAACCAAAATATGGCAATGAAGTTACCTGAAAACGACCATATGATAGACTATGCCAGCACTGCAGACTTGCAAGTTTCAAAATTTTTTTACTCACTATCTCATCTTCCAAGCTCTTCAACAAGAAACAAAGCCACACAACCAGATCTCATGTTACTCTCGATGCCAAGACACATATGTTATTGAAGATATAAGAAAAGCATGCGGTGCGAAGTAATATGCAAAGTGCAAACAATGAAAGAAAATTGTAAGGACTCGAAAACAAATGTTTCCACATGTTTAAAACTATCTTCCAAATTCCAACTAATCAACACATGCACCACAATTGAGAGGATTGTATGTCATAGCGATCATAAAACAAAACACGCTTCATACTGATGATAAATTGGATTTGAGAAGTATGGAAAAAGGGGAAAAAGCATGGATTGAGCTAGCCACAATACATTCGGCCTGGAAATTTTAGCAAGGCTTAGAGTCTGTTGGGCAAGCCTTATTATTGGGAGACAAGACTGGTCGATTCATTAGCAATGAAGCAATATCCGTATCAGATACGACACTCGTCGAAGACTCGAGGAAAAGTATCGGATACACACCAAACATATCTAATAATAAATAAAGCATATGGATACTTCACGAATACTTCTATATGCAGAAAAGTATGTGTGATTTTTAATTTTCATCTTTATCCCTTCCTTTTAATTTCACATACAATGTAATACATCAACAAAAATTCATATGACTTGGAAGACAAATAGGTGTTTTCCAAGTATTATCCATTATCACATATCCAAAGAGTTTAAATAAATTGATTACTTTATAATCTTAAGAACAAATATTTCTAAGCAAACAATATAATTAAATGTTAGTTCTTATTCTTTTAATTAATCACGTTCACTTTGTAGATGTACCATAGTGAGACGATAGGTAACTTTTTGAAAATAAAAAATTATTACTAATGTTGTTTATTATTGTTAAAGAATCATTAAAAATTATAACTATCAAGTTATCACATATTAGTAAAAACTGTACTTGTATCCTATTTTTCGAGTTTTTGCCGTATTATTGTATCCGTATTATATCGTACCCATATCTCATATTTGTGCTTGCTAGGTTCATACTTCATAGTTACCAGAAAACCATTGATACACTAGACAATTGCATATTGGATTAAGGGTTCCAAAATATGACACCATTTCGTTCAAGTATACAAAAATTGGAGATCCAAAAGTTTTAACAATAAGTTTTCCAATACGCCAAATTTTCCATAAAGAAATGGGACTTTGTGCATTATAATTACGTTATGGGTGTGTTAGGATGACAGGGTTAGATTGGATTAGAGATCTATAAAAATATCCTTTCCTATTCAACCCAAAACCCACCTATCATTGGACTGATTAGGATTTAACGACTATATCTTATCATTTTCAGTGTTTGGATAACCCATAAACACTTCTGTGGGACCCATGGAGAAGGTGATGGAATATGGTTTTTTTTTTTTTAAAGAAAATTTTTATTAGAGATTACAAGAATCAAAGAATTACAAGAATTCTAAAAAATCAAAATACACCTAAAGGCTTAACTCCTTCAAAATGCTCCAAGAGCACCTTTTTTACTTTCATGGCAGCAGCCTCTTGTCCCTCTGAAAATCAGTCACAGCACAGCAAAGAACAGCCACAACAGCATTCCACAACAAAACCACTCAAAATCATAGCATCACAGCATCAGTGCATCACAGCGGGTACTGAACAGCATCAGGAATGCCCAGATAAGCGCCAAGCACCCCCACAATCAACCTTTGTCATAAAAAATCATCACTTTTTTGACCCTAGCGACTGGCAGACCAATATGATCCTTCACCAGAGCACTCCTCACCATATTAGGCAAAGCAATAACAGAAAAATCAGAAGAAAAACAATCCTCCACTGCCTTATTTGCCAAACTATCTGCTACAGCATTAGCCTCTTTAAAAACATGCCTCAGCTGAAAATCCATTCTACCAAATGTTTCTCTTATCTGAGACAAAAAGCTCCAGCAAGGGCCATGAACCAGCAAAAACCCCCAGCACAGACTGCACCAGAACCAAAGAATCAGATTCTATAAGAATCTTATAAACAAATAAACCATATCTTTCAACTAAACCCAATCCATCCATCAGAGCTCTGTACTCAGCCTCCATATTAGTACATTCACCATTATAAAAGTAGGCAGCCAGGACCAAACCACCCCACTCATTCCTAAGCACAGCTCCACCACCTGCAGGACCTGGGTTCCCTTTAGCAGCACCATCCACATTTAACTTTAAGCAACCAGCATCTGGAGATCTCCAGCATACCCAAACAACTCTGGGTGCAAAGCTACAAGCTACCTCCACCCCCAGTTGGTGCAAAAACTCCTTCCCATGCACATCATCTGGAGTTCTAACTTTGACATTCCACACCTGATTTCTCAGAATACCACAGATTTTAATAAAAACTGAGTAAGAGTGCAGCAACCCTTCCCCAGCTCTCCTCCTACACCTCTCTTTCCATACCTGCCATACACAAGTAATGGAATACTTCTGACCAAACCATGACCCAAAGATCTCTTATTAAAAACTCTGATAAGCTGAAAGCCATCCCTGATAAGCTGAAAACGAACCATAGTAGCCAATCGTTTCCAAATAGCATCAGCAGATTCACAAGCCACAAAGAGATGCTCAATATTTTCAACATAATTGTAACACAAAGGGCAACTGCTAACCACTGGAAAACCCAGCTTTTGAATTCTCATATCCACAGGAAGAGCCTCCATCAAAACTTTCCACCCAACCAATTGAGCGCTAGGAGCAGTGTTTAAACCCCAAATAAGAGCTGCAGTATCATTCCTCACACCCTGAGACCTAATTAACAGCCAAGCAGTATTAACAGAAAACATTCCAGAAGAAGTCTTCTGCCAAACCAACCTATCCACCATATTCCTTAATACAATCCCAGAACTCAAAATTTCCTCTCTCAATTGGTCATTAAGAAGACCATTCACACCCTCCATCTGCCACTGAGCACCCAATTACAACTCGGCAACTTTAGGAAAACTCAAAGGCATCCTATCAATTCTATTCAACAAAGGACCACCTTTAAGCCAATTATCACACTAAAATCAACCCTTTCACCATTTCCAATCAGCACCTTGGAGTTCAAAACCACCATCTCAAAAGAAGATCTTAGCATCTCCATAGACTTAAAATGACTTCTGCCATTACATCTTAGCACATGCCTACCCCTTAGAAATTTAACAGAAAAAGACCTGAGCCCACAAAGACTCTCCTTTCATCACATTCCAAACCTGCTTTAATCTAAAAGCCCCTTGCACCTCCTCAAACCTTCTCAATCCCAAACCCCTTCATCTTTTGGCAAAGCAATATTCCTCCAAGAAACCCAATACCTTTTTAAAACCCCCAATTTACTAGACCAAATAAATCTAGCAATACAAGAATTCAACTTATTGATCACACCTATAGGCAAATTCAAACAAGCAAGCAAGTGCACATGAACAACACACAAAGCAGATTGAGCCAATAAGACCCTACCCATATTGGACAACAATCTAGCATACCAGCCTTCCATCTTCTTCTTAAACTTCAGAATCAATCCCTCAAATAGCTAATTTTAGTTCTCCCCACAATTATAGGGCAACCCAAATAATCAAAAGGGCACTGCTTAATTGGAATCCCAGCTATACCAGACAAAACCTGCCTCCTATCCACAGAAATATGCTTTGAACAGAACATAGAGCTCTTCTCTAAACTCACTTTCTGTCCAGAACTCAATTCATACAACTTCAGAAAATTCATCAAATTCTCCAAAGACCTCTTATAGCCTCTCAGAAATACCAGAGTATCATCTGCAAAAAGCAGATGACTAACCAACATAGAACTCCTCCCCATATGGAAACCTTTCACCATTCCCTCCAAATACAATTGCTTCAATCCTCTGCTCAAAACTTCTTCAGCAGGGATAAAGAGACAAGGAGACATAGGATCCCCTGCCTCAAACCCCTAGAAGCAGGAAAAAAACCTTTCCTCACACCATTAACACAAACAGAAAAATACTGCTTGGCCTAACAATTAACAATCAACTTCACAAACAAATCAGAAAAGCCAAATTTAGACAATGTTTTGAACAAAAAGTCGCACTCAAGCCTATCATAAGCTTTCATCATGTCAAGCTTTAAAACCATATTACCAGCTTCAACCTTTCTATTCAAGTCTCCCATCACCAGCTGAGCTAACGACACACACTCCCCTATACATCTCCCTCTAACAAAGCCATGCTGCTCAGGAGAGATCAAAGCAGGTAAAAAAGGAGTCAATCTTAAGGCTAAAAGTTTAGTAAAAACTTTATACAAGAAATTACATAAACTTATTGGCCTAAAGTCAGAAAAAGACACAGGATTAACCTTCTTAGGAATCAAAGCCAGCAGAATTAACTGACCTAGGCATTTCACCTCCATTAAGGAAAAAATTGACAGCTCCCACCAAGTCATCCTTTAAAATGTCCCAAGCCACATGAAAGAACTTACCAGACATACCATCAGCCCAGGTGCACTCTGTTCATTAACTGTTTTGTCCCTAACCTATCCAATCCAACACTATGTTTGATTTATAAATTAGTATTTTGATCAATTCCAAACAAATTTTCTTACATGTAATTTTTAAAAATGTTGTAATTTCATATCCTCTGGATGGGTATTCATATGTCACGAGTACTATTGAGAATTAGCTCAAGCTCTCAATTATTAGTTATTTTATTATTAGTTGTTAATTAATCTTAGCCCAAATAGGATATTGCTTTATTTATTTAAATTAGTCGTCTTGTTGGAGAAGACATCTTATTCTTCTTGAGGTATTATCATCAAAGCCTCTGCTTTGACAAAAAAAAATTTTCGGAAAAAAAAAAATCAAATTGTAAAAAAATAAAAGACGAAACAGATGAGAGAGAGAGAATAGAACAGGATAATTCGGTCCCCCTTGAGTTTCATTTAACCCATGTAGATGAATTAAAGTTGACTTTTTAAATTGAGTTGGGATGAATATTGGGCGCAATTCTCAATCAACGTGTGATTGCATAATAGATGAAGCACGAGAAAAAATATCACTGCCAAGTTCATGTCAAGAACATTACTTTCCTGTTTAGATCTTTTCAAGGATTATTGGTGCAACAACTTTATGGTTGTCATGATCTCTCTTGGTCTTTCAGCCATGTGTATCGCTGATTTTTGATATGTCATAGGAAACTATAGATTTTGCCCAAGATGTGGAAACGATTGAGGAAACTTGTTTGACACCTGATATCTTTGCGTACACAAATCGGGATTGGATACGGTTGACACGTTGATAGTCATCCATCATTTTTTTGGTCTGAATAATCAATGCGTTAACCGCTTGCTCTAGTCGGGTTACATCACCATGTACAAGCACGTTGTCAAAAGACGTGTTTCGCCCACAAACTTTTCTTTTGAGCAACATGGTGTTGGAGAGATCGCAAGTTTTGATAGGGAGCGTGATTGAACCGGAATAACATAGAAAGCCTTACACCCGTAGATTATCCTTGATAATCCCCGGTTAAAGTTCTTCAATAACTTTGTTGATTATACCAACGTAATTGAGAAACGAAAGAAAACCATCTCTTCAATATTATTAAAATCAAGAAAAGCCCCTCCAAGAGGTTACATACCTGACTACTTGTAATAGAAGAGTCCTAATTAAACTAGGAAACAAAATAACCGTGAATCCTAATTAAACAAGAAAATTAAAATACAAAAGATTCCGAATTAAATTAGGAAACAAAATAAAATAAAATCTTCTAAGATTCCCTAATTGAATAGCATTGATCATGTTCAAATGAAATGTCAAATTTCTCACCACACATATTGTATCATAAGCCAACATCCCTTATTAGAAAATATAGGGACGAATAAAAAATATCGGCAATAGTTTGGTGCAAAAGTGACATCATTTCTATCTACAGCAAAGATGATAAAAAAGTAAACAAAGAGTTACTAAAAGAAAGCAGAGATCGAAGAGATAAATGCCTCTACTAGCAATGTCATACCTGAAAGGCATTAATCATAAATAGTAGGTAATTAGTCTTCTCCGCAATACTTACGCTTCTCCCCTGCAGTCACATTTAAGATATAAATATTCAATAAGACTTGTTCAGTGAATTACTGAATTATTCGCATACAAGATAAGATTTCAAAACAAGAATATGGGTCTCTTCGTGTATACATGTTGAAAACATATGGAGATCAACAGCTGCACAAACCCTCAGAGAAAAATTGAATTTGTATATCAGAGAATTTACTAAGGAATTGTACACCTAAAAGTTATCATCAATCTTTAAGCGATGATCATATCGAGCCCTGCCAAATACACCAAAGATCTGAAAGACATCAACATAGGACAGCACCAACACCAGAGATGCAACCGAGAAAAAAGGCAGAACATCACGGTGATTAATGAAAAACAGAATTTACAAAATATTAAGTAGCTCTTAAAAGGAAGCTTTTCAAATCCCACCACCATCAAGTGTCTTTAAACTCCAAAAGCAGTTCAAAACAAATCAAAACTATAGACAAAATTACAGTTATAACTTCTTAAACAATTTATATTGGTGCTAAACAGATCAAAGCATCTCAAAGGTATCTATAGGTTGCATGGTAATGACAAATATAGCAATACATAAGGCATGGAAAGCTCCTATTTAAACTGGAAAATCCCACTCGTAAGTAGAAATATCACTAAAAGCAACAAAAAAAGAGGTCAGTAATCATATACACACACACAACAAGAAGCCTTAGAGATATCAACAAGGCTCACACAAGAGGAACCAAAAGGCCCCAGAAAAACCTCATTAAGCCAAACAGAAAGAAGACTCAACTTAACCTTGTGCAGCATCCTATTCCTACCCGTTCAGAAGACACCCTATTTCTCTCATTCCACAATGTCCACCTGAGGCACAGGGAAGCAACATCCCATCTTTATCTCGTGCTGTTCCCTGTCCTGCTCCATTTTCAATAACTCATCAAGGCCTCTATCAATCTAGGCTTGACCCAAGCAATGCAACAAATGGCAAACAAAAAGATGCTCTCAGCCTTGCAATTTAGTCGCGATGTCAAAACAAAAAATGACTGATTCTTCCAACTTAAATGTGAAAATGCTTAGTGGGGATTTTCCCCTCCGGTTTGGATATCAATAGTCAAGTAAGCTTCCAATGCTGCTGAAATAACAGAAGACTGAATGAGAATCTCCCCAGGAAAATAAACAATGTCCCTAGCTGCTTCTACACCATATAAATTCCATAAAACTTCTTCGCAATTTAAGGTTCTTGATACTTTGTCATACAACTGATCTGATCTCAAATAGAAAGTTTGTGGCAGTTCAAGGAGAATTATACGGTAATACATACTCATGAAACCCAGAACTTCGCAAAATTCCTAAATGCTCAACATTCATAACTAAATAGAAAATGCAACTTTGATTCATTCATATAAGGTGTTTTCTGGACACATTTGATAAGCAGTTGAGAGGTGAGCATTAAGCAAGAAAAGAGGGAAAACCTCTAGAGACTAGGAGCCTGAAACTACAAGGACAGTAGAGAGAGAAAGAGGGAAGAAACCCTTAAATCCCTTAGGGACCTTAAAATTTGAATCCATAAGGAGAGAGAAGAGAGGGAGGAAAAGAGGAAAGAGAAACAAAGTCAATGCTTTGCCAAGGACTCAAGTACTTTCACATTTTTCCAGCTTTTTTTCGTTTGACACACCCCCATAACCTTTGAGAAATACTCGCCAGGGCTTAAAGTACCCAATTCTACACCAAAGTATTGCTTACACACATAACACACCTCATAAATACGTGTGACATTACAAGTCCCAGAGTACATGTGCAACAACCGTTCACATATTTCCTTGGAAGTATCCAAAAAGAGCAAAGATGTAACTAATATTGGGCTCAATGCTACTCAAAAATAGCGACATGATTTGAGCATCTTCATATTCCCATACACGTATGTTAGAATTAGTCTCCTTAACCCAATCTTCCACCAAATGACCTCTGATTAGTCATGAAAAGTGTCATAATTTGATATGTTATTAATGATGATTGGTACCGATTCCTTGTTAATAATGCTAATTATAACATCATTTCGTATTTTATGCTCATTTGGATATTTGTTTGCAGATAAATAGCATAAATTATGGAGTGTGAATGTGCATTGCAAGAAATCGATCTTTAGATTGAAGGGATCAATCACAAGAAGATTGAAAAATTTGACAAAAAATTAATGGGGATCGATCCATTGTTAAAGTGGGTCAATCCAGAGCATTAAAAAGGGATAGAGAATTTGAGTGTATCGATCCAAATTGATTGGCTTAAAAAGGGATTGTCCCACTAAATTGAATCATTCCACTTGTGTGCTGCCAAGTAAAGGCCAAGCCAAGCCAAAGTAATTCATGATCCAAGCCACCAAAATCAAGCCAAATAAAGAGCCATCAAGCCAAGCAAATCCAAGTTCAAGCCATTCAAGTCAAGAATGATGGCACACCAATTTGGGATCCTTTATATGAATCGTTCCTTTATTAAAAGGGATCAATCCCTATTGCCTTAGAGAGATGTGAACAGAAACTTATTGGGGATCGATCCTTCGCTATGTGGATTGATCCGAATGGAGAGTTTTACCCAGTCAAAAACTCCTAATAGTCTTCGCTTGTACCAGCGTTACTCCACTATAAATAAATCTTTATGATTGATAAGGGGATCTGTTCTTTTTCCAACCTAGCTGCCTTTTGACCTATTTTCTTATTTTCTTTTTCATCATAATTCTTGGAGATCCAGCCATGAATTGTGAATGGTCTTTTTGTACTTTCTAGTTAGGGTTGAAAGATTTGTGATTATTTATTGGAATCGTTATATTTACGACGTTTTTATTTTGATCTCAATGTTAAACCTTTTATTTATTCAATTGATTGAATGTTCTCAATAAAATTTAATACTTTTTATAATTGTTTGATTATTAATCAACATATTTGATATTCTTGATATGCTTAAGGTTTATAATTTCCTACAAGTATTTTAATTAGTTCTTCAAAGCTTATTTTCAAGTTAATCAAATTAATTGTTCGTTCATCGAAATATTTTTCAGTTGACTATACTGACGTTGAAAATCAATTGAGATAATTTATATTGCATAAATGTAACTTTTCGATAAATATTGGTAGAAATGGATCTCAAAACTAGGAAGTCATTTTTCAAATTATTATTAATTTCAAATTTACTTTTGTGAATTGCTTTCCAATTAATCCTACTTCTTTAAAAATCTTGTTCTTTGTTCAATTTACCCATTCCTTGAGGATCGACTTCAGACTACACCGAGTTATTAATACAATGGACCACTTGTATTTAGGTGTACCACATTTGGATTCAAACAACCTCCACCAATTACGAATCCCCTTAACCTCTAAAAAGACCTCCACCGATTACGCCCACAGATTGACAAAAGTCATGGGTGCACTAAAAATGAGACAAAAGAGAGCCAAATCTTAGAAGTATAACAGTGATTCAGTTATGGAAACCATACGATTGCAGCAACACAGAGAAACTGAAATGAGAGGAGAAAAGCACCAAATCAGTCTGAAGAACTCAGAATAAGCCTGAACCAGACTAGTAGGGAGCTGCTGGGCCTGAGCCAAACTGGTAGGAATAGGATGCTACAAAAGCCCGAAGAGGGCTAGTAAAGAGCTATTGACCCTTCCTGTACAAGTAAAGAGTTGCTAGGGGCTGAACCAAAGCAAAAGGATAATGCAGGTGCCTGAACCGGGCTAGTGAAAACTATAGATGCCTGAATCGCACTAAAGAATGACTATAGAGAACTGAACCAGACTAGAAATAAACTGAACAGACCTGACGGCTGACCCAGTTGCTGATGATCCAAACTGACTGATTTAAGCCAAATAGCTTGAACTCGACTCCAATTACCCAAAATCATATGTACCGACCCGAATCAATGTCAATATTTCCCAATTCAAGTAATCCAAATTAGGGATCTGATTATCCAAATAAACACTAATACTACCTACTCCTGTAATCAAACGCAACCCTACTTTAAGGAAAATATATAGGACACTTCATCACGCTTTGCTGCCGGCAAAAAACAGCAAACAATAACCCTGTAGACCACTTCTAATCATATGAATAGGGAAAAATACATCATCAATCCACTAAATTGCAACCCAATCATCACAAGCAAGAATAAACCATTGAAACAACTGCAAATATCGGCTATAGGACTAAAGAGGGTATAGATTACATTCCCACCAGCGACAAATAGTGATCACGGCCATGAGAGCTCAAGCAGCAGCCATCGACGACTCCCCCGGCATATTTAGGATCCAACGATCCCCATAAACAATATGAACAGTAATGACAATCGAAGAAAGAGAAGTGGGAATAAGGAAAGGCAAGAAGAGAAAGAGGGGGGGGGGGTGAGCCCATGGTGATTGAAGCACCGATACCATGTAATGAAACGAGAATTAGGGTTAGAAAGAGAAAAATGTGAGAGAGGGTGTGTTGGAGCACAATCGTGACTGCCTCCCAGCAGTGAGACAAAAAAAACTAATATGCTCCTTTGGGGCATACTCATTACAGTGATACCCTAGTCATAATATGCTCCAACAGGTAGATTGAAGGAAACATACCTCCTTGAGGCAAAGAACTCTCTCGAGAAATGCCTTGAACATATCTTTCCTGTCATAAAAGCATATCCATGCAGCCACATTCTCTCGAAACTGCAGGTTTCAAAACATAAATGAAAATTAGTTTCTTATTTCATTTTATTCACCGTAAGTCTCCATAATACACTCATCTTGCTGAGAAGGGGTAAAGTCAAAAACTATTCTCTTGGTTCTATGTAAATCTTATGAACCACATAAAAATATGGAACATTAAAACCTTACAATTCCATTTATTAATAGGAAACATCAAACAAGCTAACTCTCTGCAAATATTTGACTTCTCAAGAATTCAACAGCAGATGCAAGATAGCAAACTGTTTCAGAAGTCCACAACCAAGCAAAGCATTACCCTTCAATTGGTTTATATAAAAAAGTAGGAAATGAGAAGCTAGATTAATTCAAAAGTTAAGCTTCATTTTTCTTTAGTAGTGTATTGAAGTGATTCTAAATCTGGCCCCAGTCAAAAGATGTGACCTGGTTTAGGTCAGTTTTTCATGTGCCACAAAAAAACTTGCTTTACCATATAACTCAAAAAACTCAACTTCCCATTTCCATAATTTAAGTTTTTCTTTTTTTTCATTTTCTTAGAAGCCAGGGACCTACTTACTTCCGTTACTTGCATTCATTAAGACCAGTTCCCAACTTCTTTTTCTCCCCTCTAAATGGAATATGCAAGTCCTCAATTTTCCTTTTCCTTGAATGTTTAGGAACCTACTAACCTAGTATTCCCAGTGAATCTAGTTAAACATTCTAGCATAATCAGGTGAGTTCACATTTTATTCTTCACACAAAGTTTAAAACGCCAATTTTCTTATAATTTTATCATCGACAAACTAAATGGAGGTGTAAGATTCTGTAAAAATATTTGACTAATTTATGTTGAATTTTTTTTTTTTTGTTTTGGCTTTCCCGAACAGCATAAAACAAAAGACTCAATTTTTGCTTTTCATTTTTCCTACTCAATTTCAGCTTAATCAAACAGAGCCTAGTCAACTATTTCACCCAGTCTAAGTGAGTTTCCAACTATTTCCAAACCTAAATCACTATGATTCTTCACTTCCTTTTCTTTTCCCACATTGTCACAGCAAATACCATACCAAAAAAAAAAATCATTAAAAACAGAAAAATCCATTATCTAAGACCCGTACCTTCTCATTGACCATGAGTATCATCGACATAACATGCTCAAAAGTTGCAGCCTCCGGATCAAAATTGGGCCATAGGTAATTCTCCAAGTACTGACTCACCTCCAGTATCATCACCCTCTGCAATGGCACTGGTTTCCGCCCTCCTTTTACCGACAACAATCAAATAGTCAGCCACACACACAAATCTCCACAATGCCAAAATATTCAAGTAAATTCGCTCAGAAAACAAATTCTATCGCTAACAACAGTCATCATACGCACATAAATCTAAAAATCAAAAACTCACCTTTCACCACCAACTCCGTCTCATATATTTCCTTCACCAGTTGGTGACTAAACGGCTTCTTCGGTCCGGAATCGCCGCCCGTCTTCACCCAATTTGCCTCCGCAATCTTCGTCAACCTGTCCCTCTGAATTTCACTTAAAGTTATCGAACTTGGCAAATTCGAACCGGGTTTGGACTCCGGAGGCTTGTCCGAGATGGGCAATTGCCGCTGAGGAACTACGTCGACAGGATACTCAGCGACTCGGTGTCGCTTGAAATCGTAGACTCCAGTTCCGTACACCTTCGTCATTCTATCTTTCTCTCTCTATGACTGATACTAGCCAGGATTTTAGGTATATCTATATATACGATTTCAATCTGAAATTGAAACTGGGTATTTGTGTAGTTGCAGAGACACAAAATAAGGGTTTTGGATTTGAAACGAGTAGTCTAATAAACCCTAGAGGGAGTGAAGTGAAGGCATGGGGTGGTTTAAACTTTGTATAGTCTTTTTTTTTGGAAAAAAACTTTGAGCAATGTCAAAAAAAACCTAATTTAGAGAGCTAAAGATATGATTTTAATATAATTTTTGAATTAGTTGTGAGTTTTAACGCTGAATAAAGTCTATAATTAATACAATAGTTATACATTATTAGGTTCTTAAATTATATCTAAATAGTATTTTCCAAAAATTTTATATACTCAAGATGAACTAAAGGCGATTTTAGCTATAAAATTAAGAGATTGTCTGGTACGAGTGAAAAGAGAATGGATGAAAGGGGTAAAATTGTCTAGCCCAAATTTATTTATCAAAATTTATATCTCAAGTAATATGTAAAAATCTCATGCGTTAAATATTGGGTGAAATTAGTAAAGTCCACTGATCTAACTACCTACATTGATATGAGATATAAATTTGATAAACAATTTGATCAACATAGCGTTGATCTGATGAAACGTGAGAAGGAAAACAAATATTTACTCATTGTTTGGTTTGTAAAGGAAAATCAAATAGAAAGGAAAAATGGGTGGAAATAATATCCCTCTCCCCACCATTTTGAATCCACCCATTTTTGGGTGAAAAATTGGACAGAAACCAACTATTTGAAGTGAGGGTAAGGTTATACTTACCAAATTTTTTTACCAAATCTCCATCCTAAATGATGTAATATTGTTTTTTACCATCAAATGAGTGGGTCTCATTAATGTTCAATGACAGAGATTGTGTCACATCATTTGGAATAAAACATTGGATCAGAAAGATAATCGACATCCATGGAGATATCATAATATATGCATGATTCTATTTCAATGTCTTTGAGTTAGTGTTGAAGTGTACCATGCCAATAAGTTAGTTATAAATGATGTCTAGCTTCGTACAATTTGCAAGATACATTAATCCACCCATTGCAATGAGATATAGTGGTTCAGGACCCAGAAGTTTTTCACCTTCTTCTTGAGGATGAAATATATCTTTCTTTTGTGTTTAGTGATCGTACGACCATTGTATTTATCTATGTATAATTATTTTTAGGACCTTTTTTATGTGTGTTGATTGATGCACAAAAATTTCATTGGATAAATGTTCAATTTGTAAGACGAGACAAAAATTTTATTTGCCCAAGATTTTTCATCTTAAACTCACTTTTTAAATAGCTGACGGCTTTTTGTGAGCTCTTTTTGGGGAACCTATTAGATTTAAATCATCAACATATACATCAATAATAATAAAATCTATTGTTATATCTTTTAATAAAAAATACATAAACATATCAAATCATTGACATCCCTTTTTGAAGAGATATTGACTAAGATGATCATACGACATTCGCCTTGATTATTTTAATTCATACAACGATCCTTGAAGCTTAATTGAATATAACCTTCGGGGCTGCGAATTATATGTTTATGTCATTTTAAACCCTTTAAAGATTTTTATGTATATCTCATTGTCAAATGAGCTATATAAATACGTAGTAACAACGTCCATTAAGTGTATGTCCAGTCCTTCAGAGACTACAAGATCGATTAAAATCTGAAAATAATAGTATCCATTACTAGAAAAAACGTCTCACCGTAATCAATACCCAAGTCTCTATGAGAAACTTTTTGTGCCACAAGTCGGGCTTATACCGCATAATTTCATTTTTTCTCATTGTGTATTTTCACAAATACCAATTTATATCCAATGGGTTCAACATCTTGTAGCGTGAAGACTATAGATTCAAATACACAATGTTTTGTTAGCAAGTTTAACTCTAGCTGAATTGCTTCTTTCTATTTTTATCCAATCATTTATTTGTGGGCATTCATCAACAGTTTTTAGTTCAAACTCTTCTCTATCTCTTGAAATATCAAGATCAACAACAAATAAAAATATGTCATGCACAATAACTTTAATTTGATCCCATCCTTTTCATTGTGCACATAATTTATAGAAATCTCATCATTCTCATGTACCTGATTTACTTCCAGATATGTTTGAAACTCTTCAAAAGTTAATTGAGCCTCTATAGGAGATAATTGTTTGTGGGATGACTCTCTTTAAGAGGGCAAACTTTTGGTTTGATAGTCTCTATCAAAGGATTAACTTTTTTATATTCTCGCTTTTGTTATCTTTTATTTATAAGGACAATGTCTTTTGCACCGACAGGTTTACTATGTTATGGTTCAAAGTTGCGGTATCGGCTCATATGTTCAAAACGCAAGATAGAAGCTCCAAAAAAATTAGAAAAATTATAAAAATATAAACATCATCATTTATGCATCATATGTCCACTATACATCCAAAAACACATTAAATATAATTAAAATAAAAATAAAATTGCTACTAAAAATAATTATCATTATCAATGTTCAATGTTCAATGTAGGCATTTAAGAACATATTGAGTTATAATCATTGCCACATTGAATTACGATGAGGCTCAAAATCGTTGTTATTGTCTCTAGGATAATATAAATTAGGATATTGTCCACCATAAGGATAAGAATATAAGTGTGAATATAGGTTTGATTGAGTTGGCTGAGTTAATTGACTAGATAACCCATAATTAGAGTAGTGTGACTGTGGTTCTCATGCTGATAGTACCCAAAATCACAATATTCTTGACCACTACTAGTAGAAAACTGATCATATCCATAAAATTGACACTATCTGATGTCGTGTTAGAAGATCCATCATGATGTCTCATTGGAACATGATCATAGTAGCCACTAGTACTAGTACTAGTAGATCTCTCAAGATGCGTAGGGCGATGACCATAATGCCCAGCACTATTAGTACCAGTAGACCTTGGAAGCTGTGAAAGGATACCATATCCACATGGTCCATGTGCATAGCTGGATTCTATACCACTACTTTGATGATGCCCGTAAGACATGTATCCTTCATGTGATGCCAATCCTAAACTCTACATATGATCATCAGTATGTTGCCGATCAAGTGAATGATGATGACGTCTATTAGAATAATCATCATCAATAAAAGAGATTAAATTCCTCCGTTGTTTCATTGCCCCTGGTCGATATAAATGGTTTGTATCTTGTGTGACATAATAATTGTCTTGCCCTTATGCCCATGACATACCTCCAACTAGCTGAGTATCACCACCATCTCTAGTAGTCCCTCCACCACCACTCTTGTTGCCCTTATCATTATCTCCACCATGATTACTAGCATCATCATCATTGCTACCACCACCACCACCACCATAAGTATCAGTAACATTATCATCATCATCATCATTAGAAGAAAAAGAATCACTAGAATTAACAAAAATTCTCATAGCCTTTTTACCCTTATTGGTTGGCCCCGTATCTTTTAGTAGTGGCATAGTTGCTAGATGTTGGAGTTGTATTAGTGTCACCATCATCAATTGCGTCTCGTCCATTTCCACCTCTTTCAATGTCACGAATACCTTCATCCAGCCAACCTAAGTTATCAGGTGGTAAAATTGGTTCCACCCCCTCTCTTATCCACTCATATAATATGTCATCATCATTAAAAATGTAGTTCAGATCAATTGGATTATAAAAATCATCATTTTCACGTTGATATGCCAAATTTCTAACTCGCAACCGCATATTGTAGTGCACAAATACTAGCTTATGTAGCTTTTTCATTGCTAATCGGTTGCGAAGTTTTGTATGGATCAGCGACCATGTACTCTAATTTCTTTCACATCATGATGATGAACATGTTTGACTTAAGACTTTGACTGTAATTTTTTGTAGATGTGGAGCTTCTTCACCATAATTGATCCATCATTCAACTACAAAAAAAATGTATGATATTAGTATTTGTCCATAAGAGCAACAAATGATACTTTAATAAATACATATGGTTAAAATAACAAACCTGGAAGGGAGACATGTACAACTTTTCTAGTGAGTGCATTCCCAAATTCGCTATGTCTGTCAGTACATAATTTGATCTATAATTTATTGTGTAATATATTACGTATGCGACCAATATATATATTATAATAAATATTATAAAAATCGATATACCTCATTTATTGCCTTTGTTTGTTTATTCAAATCTGGTTCCAATATTTTAATAACCTCTTTCAAACCAGATCTTACCTCAGGATGGTCAGAAAATTGATTAGAATACTGAAAAACTGGATTAAAGAAATAAGTTGCAAATTTGTTGACAATTTAATGTAAGTTAGTGAAAAACTATAGTATTTTACGAGCTAATACACAATGAAAATTTTATATTTGTAAATACTTTTACCTGTTGCAAGCAGGTGTCTGTGCAATTAGGTCTCCCACCTTTTGTCAATCATGACCCAATATTTCCTCCAATATTTGACTGAATGTTGTATGACTAGTTTAGTCCTGTCCATTGCCTCATACACAATTGATAAAGTCGGTTTTTTGTCTTGATCAATTATCTTTAAGACCCTAACAAGAGGCTCTATGACAGATTAAACTTCTCTAGCCTTCTTCCAAAACTGGTTAGTCAAAATAAGGTGTGAGACTATATCTCTTGTTTTTCTCCTTTTCTTGTCTTTGTTGAACTCATGCCATTCATCAGTGGTGCACATTCTTTTCAAGTCCGATTCATAACGGATAAAACTTTCAATGATGATGAATTTAGTGGTAAATCGTGTTATATCTGGCCTCAATAAATATCTTTCTCTGGTATGTTACTTCATTAAGTTCACCACATTGAGACTGGTGTAGATAAAATATGTGATCGTCTTAGCATCATCTATAGGCTCCTTGATTGCTTTCATATGACCAATATCTTTTACCATCAAATCGATACAATGAGCTGCACAAGGAGACCAAAATATATATT